GTGTCATACTGTTCCTTGTACGTCGTTTATCATGTCTGCCTCGTGTCTTTTAAACTGTAGGTTCGGAAAAACAAGACATATAAAGTCATCACTTCAGAAAATTGTCATAAGCACTTATTTCATTTATAGACTGAATAAAATAATTGATAGATTAACTGATAATGAGCCTTAAACTAGAGCACACAATTCACACAAGTGTCACCAGTGTGACCTGAGAGCCCACAAACAGCCTGTGGAATGTTCTAGTGTGTCAGTGAATGAAGCTCTGCTGCATTAACACACTGCCTCTAGACTCCTTTAAACTACAGGAGGTCACTGACCCCTGCCTGTGTGTGTGTGTGTGTGTGTGTGTGTGTGTGTGTGAGGCAGACAGCAGTCCACAGGTCAGAGTTCAGCATGTGTTCGACAGACGATGGAGGAAGTGGATGTGTGAGGTTTTGGACTCTGGACAGTTTAAACAAGGCACAAACATGGCAACAACTTCACCTGCCTGACGGAGGTGCACTAACTTTCTGTCCTTTTTCTTTTTTCACTGCAGGTCCGCCAGTAAAGGATTTGTTTCTGATATAAACATCCTTTCAAACCAAACCTGTAAATACTACTTGGACTCACCTGAGCAGCTGTTATTTGTGTGTATGTGTGTGTGTGTGTGTGTGTGTGTGTGGCGGAGAAACCCTTTCATCTTCTAAAGTGGTTCCTGTAGCGTGATTAGATGGCGGTGCTCCAGAGTCCACGAGAAAACACACACAGACGCAGCTGCTCAGGTGTTCTCTAGAGGTGTGTTCGCTTTAGCCCAAGTACTAAAGTCTGTGTGTGTTCAGCGGGATGTTTTTCAGGGAATTTTTTTTCCCTGAGGTGATCTCTAGTGCTCCAAACTTTAACTTTTGTCACATAATGTCCACTTACCTTACACATGTTGAAGTTTAATGTCATATACTGCACAAGTGACGAACATTTTATGCCTCCTGTAAACAAAAATGCTGCACTGATTGAAGCCTTTCCCACTGTGACACTGTGCCTCGAAAGACACTGAGCCTCTGAAGGCACTGTGTCCAGGAGCCTCTTCACCTTTTAATCCATCCTTGATGTTTGGCCAGTTCTCTACTGGAGAAAGAAACAGACACTAAACAAGAAAATGGACTCAGAAGAAGAACATACATTACAAAAACTGTCCTTTATTGTTATCTGAATAACTTAGCAGCAGCTGTCCTCACACAGTGTAGAAAGAGAGAGAGAGAGAGATTGAGAGGGACAACAGCAGCTCTCAGTGGATTCAAACTGAAGATTAATCTGGACTCTGTTCTCAGCTGAAGGACGGAGCCCTTTCTTCTGTGACATGAACTATTAAGAGTTTCAGAGAGAGTGTGTGGAGATGGAATACTGAGTGGACACACTGACTCTGTCTCTCTCTGTCTCTGACACATTTACATCGAGCTGCACACTGACCAGCAGCAGCAGCAGGAGAAGGAGGACAAAATCTGTATGGGACGGTCTGACAGCTCCTGGGAAGAGAGATGAGATTACAGAGAGAGAGGAGGCCGGATTATAAACACAGAAGAAGAATGACAGGCCGCCTACTGTTATCTGAAGTTAAAGCAGACAAACACACAGCCACACATTTGTATACACAATCTGAAACATCTTTGGCTGTGTAGCTGTGGTGCTGACAATCTGAAACTGTCAGCGTAACCAAAGAACTGGTAAAATATTGATAAGTGTAATGCTGCTGTACATAAAGGTTTCCCCCTGTAGACCCTTTTATTTTTTATTTTATTAGCTGTAGGCTCCATAGGAGTGTTAAAATGTGTTTGTCTTGTTGTGTTATTGGGAGCCAGAATAGAAGGAGTCATGGCTCAAAAACAGCCGCCACTGCCCGTCAACAAAAACAACTATGGTTAAATGTGATAAGACCAAAGGACTGGACGGAGGCCATCATCAAAAATGCTCACATGTGCAGCGCACACTTCATATCAGGTTAGGGAAAAAGTATTTCCTGTTGTAGGGATGAGTAAAGTTATGTGTATTAAGGGTTATCATGTCCACCTCATCAGAAACTGGGGAGGGATTAAGAGGAATATTGGATTTCTCTGCAACGCTAACTTTTTAGCACATTAGCTAACGTTAGCTTCCATAGCAAAACAAACAAGTGTGGTCCTCCTTTGTAAGATTGGCTTCCTGTGACATCATCCATCCACTGAGTGAGAGCATACGGGTCGGCCAGTCTGGTCCCGTTGGTCAGTGTTTACTTATTCTAGTAACACTGGCGGTCCCGGAGAGTGAGTGACCTGACATGGTGCGTTGGTAAATTCAGTCTGACGCTCTACACTAAAATGAGAGCCCTGTTGGTGGAAGAAACGCAGCGTTATATTTCTACATGAATGAACCAACGGTTAAGTTAATCACACATTCACTCCGCTCGGCGCTCTGCTGCTCCGTCTCCACAGACAGAGTGTCCAGAGTGCGCTCTGCCACTCTGAGAGTGCGACGCTCTGGATAACCCAACGGCTCCGAATTGTGAACGATCCAGTTTGTGTCAGAGTGCACTGCAACACTTTAAAGGAGTATTTCTGAAAGCAGCACCCATCATCAACAGAACTTGCTAATTAGCTCTAGCTAATGTCAGTGGGGAATTGTTTTGCCTCCAGCTAAGCCCCGCCCACCAAGATCAAAAATACATTCCTCTCACCTGTAGTGCTGTTTATCGAGCTAGTTTTTGCGTGAGTTTCAGAGTGTTGGTGATATCGGCTGTACAGATGTCTGTCTTCTCTCCAGTATAATGGAAGCGCCCAAAAAATAAATTGCAATGTCTCTTTTCAGAAATCATGACCCGGTTACTCATGATAATACGCAGACCTTGTCATGAGCAGTTTCACGTAGGAACTATTTTCATTCTACCGAACTATCCCCACCAACCGAATCACCGCTCTGTGCAGAAGGAAGTGTGCAAGTTATTTGTCTCACACAGTATTTTTCCCAAAACACTGCCATCTGTCTTTTGGCGTGCAGAAAACACACATCTATCATTATGTTACGTACTTGTGGCCTTTTGGTTATAGTCCTAGCTATGCTTCCTCTCCCTGTGTGCTTACATGGTCTGAGTGTGTGGCCGTCTGTGTGTGTGTTTGCATGTTTGTTGAGGAACACCTGTCTGTGTGTGTGTGTTTGTTTGTGTGTTTAAGTGGCAGTCTGCATGCCCATTCTCTCTGTGTTTGTGTGGTTTGAATTCCCATTTGTTGTTTTGCCACTTGGTGGGTGCCATGATGCAGGAATGTCAAATTAATTAGAGAATAAAAGAGACAAAGGGAAAAAATACTTTATTTTACAGTAAGAAAATGGTGTGATGAAGGGAACAGTAGGAAGGAGAAGAAAGGAAACAGAACAGTAGGAGAAAGGAATGGATCAAGGCAAGAAAGGAGGGAAAGATAAGGAAAAGGAGGCAGGGCCGTAATCACCTATTTAACAATTGGGGAGGAGGGGGGGCATTTTCAACCCACACCCTCTGTGACCCAACCCTCCAGAGGGGTCTGAGGGGGAATTCCCCCCTTAACTTCACAGCAGTGTTAATTTTGACAGCTATTTTAGATTAAATCTCGTCATCTCCCCAGTTAGATATTTTCATTGCTGTGTACGTGTAAATGACCCTTGTTAGACGATATAAATGTCACCTCAGGACAATTACCCGCTCTCTTCTCACGTGAGCTCGATTGGACAATAAACGAACTTTGTATTCGGGAGCTGGCAGGGTGAGATCTGTTTAATGTGTGATTCAACTGATTCGGACATTTGCATTCTCACATACAGCTCCTCCGAGTCATGTCGTCATAATTCAGGTTTGCAGTGCAGTATGGGGCTATACACACATTCTCCACCATTTAATACATTTGAAAGTAATAAAATACAGAGCGTACAATGTTTTAAGTTGTATTGACCCGCAGTAGTCGAGCAACAGCTTCTGATGGGGTACGGCAACCCCACACTATTGAACTGCATTTGCCAATGATTATCTTGGTTGTCTGTGGGAGTAATTTGTTTTCTAAGTATATAATGTTGGCAATATATTTTGAGCATATTTGGGGTTGACGTGTCCCCTCCTGTATTTATTGCAATTAATGCCACAAAGATGGGGAGTTAGCCTGCACCACCAGGGGTCAACACGCTTGGGTCTCGCCCCTGCCTGCTGCCCGGCACACAATGCACCAGGCTCAGATGCCAGCCCTTGTGAGTGGTGGGCCCACAGGATGGCGGCTCCATATCATTCATTTGGGCTGAGCCCACCTAATGGCCAATGCTCAGCCACCATAAGCTCACTGGCAAGCTCCCCACCCCCTAGGCCTGTCCCCATACTGGGTGAGGTACTCGTTTCCCAAATGTGCCGTTTCATCAAGGTCTTCTTTAACCGTTCTTCGTTTGGCCCTCCACTTGGTACCACTATTAAGCCCCAGACAACGCAGCTCCCAGGATCACGGTGACGCACAAACCCCTCCACCACGTTAAGGTGCCGATTCTTGCAGGGGGCCTCCTACCAGTGGGCGCATCCCACCGGTTGTCCACGTGGCAGACTCAGAACCTGAAAATGGATGGGTTTATGGATGGATGGAAGAAGGAGAGTTAGGGAAGGAAAGGCAGAGAAGGAAAGACAAAAAGGAGACGAAGGAAGGAAAGAAGCCGGAAGACAACGAGGGAGAAGGACATTTGAAAGAGAATGGGAATGCTGAGGAAGAGGAAAGGGAATAATTAATTACCACAAACTCTTTAGGAATTAAATTATATCAAAATAACCAGTGGAGCCAAATTAGTTAAGATGCCTTATTTGAGCCAGTTAATGAACTGAGATAATGTGATGTAACTTTTGATGTAACCACTGAACCATTCACACACCAGGCATTGGTAGAAGTTGTGCCCTCCTCCAACCACCGGGGACGGGCCAACAGAGGGGGAGGAGGAGGAGGAGGGAGAGGGAGAGGAAGGGTGACTGCAGATTGAGTTGGAGTAGGTGCCTGCTGGAGCGACACAGAGAGAGCAAGGGAGGGAGGACAGAAACCTCGACGCTCCGCTTTCCAGGACTACAAACTAACTCCTTCCTCTCTCTTTCCTCTGCACTTATCAACACTCTTCCCTCCAAATGCTCCTGTCCCATCGGAGTTAGCGGCCCATCTCTGCTTCTACTCAGACTGATTTATTCCTCAAACTTTTTTTCCCCTCGGAGCGGATCTAGCGAACAGGTGGAGATGATGGCGAGCGGAGCTGCGCCGCTCTCCCCGGCTCGGCGCACTCAGACGCGGGTGGCGCTGCTGCTGTGGCCGCTGTTTGTGACCTGCTGTCACTTGGTGTCGGCGCAGGAGCTGCCGACCAACGGGGTGAACGGATACAGCCTGCACCCGCCCTACTTTAACCTGGCCGAGGGCACCAAGATCACCGCCACGGCGACCTGCGGGGAGGACGACACCGGCAGGACCGTGCAGGACCTGTACTGCAAGCTGGTCGGAGGCCCGGTGTCCGGAGACCCGAGCCAGACCATCCAGGTGAGCAGGACAAAACTTTGTTGATGCTTTCTGATGCTGCGTAGAAGTGAGTCCTAAACTGTATGTGACTCATTTGAGTTTAAATTCCCCCAAAATATTCCTTATCATACAGTGATGGTAATTGCATTTCATCCTACATGCTCCCCTGATTCTCTAGTGCTCCAGGTGTGTTTGTGGTGCAGGAGTATTACAGTGATTTTAGCATGTGCAGTTGCATGTTTTGCATTGTTAAAATATTCCTAGAGGCTCTGAGTGTGTCTCTGGTGCTCAGTAGTGGGTGTACACTCACTGATGTTCCTTTAATATGTCTGTATGGCAGCATTAAACACTCCTTTAGTATTTGTGCAGACCATTAATGAGCCTGTCTTTAAGATCTCCACCTATCATTGCATTTGCAGCCATAGTATTTCTACTTCAGTCCACTTTAAGGACCTAATTGTATCAGATTTAGGGTCTGTAATGACATTTACATCCTCTCAAGTGTCCCTGTGACCCTCACATTTTATTGCACCCTTTTAAAATCTACCACACGATCACTTCTGCTAATGTTACTGGTGATTTTCAGGAGTTTGTTTATCACCAAGCTTCTGTAGATGCCAGTCTACACACTTCACTGCATTCAGAGTGGAGAGTTGAACAGAGGGGGTCAGCAGTGTGCATGAATCTCCAACTGCTCTGCCAAGTCATTATTTCATGCACTGCTTCCTTTGTAGGACTTGGCAACACTCAACACAGGCCACTTATATAAGGACAGGCAACATTTCATTTAGAGTGGACTCCGCAGAAATTCAGCTACCGACCAGGTTTCCACATTTACGTGTGTTTTTATAGACGAGTTTTTAATGGGATGATGAGATTGTAAAAGCGACAACAGGCCCATTGTGTGTTTGATATTTACGCCTCCAGGTACCACTGGTTAACGCACAAAGGGTGATTGCAGTTTCATGGGTTAACCATTAATTAAAGGAACCCTCTGGGCGATAACACGCAGGCTTATTGCCTTCTCCTTCTCTCCTTCTCTCTCTCCCACCTGTTCCCCACATTCCTCACGGCGACTGACCCGTGTCCTCCAATCAGACCGAGCTTATCCGCTCTGTTACCGCGAGATTATCAAGACCTCGAGCGCCGCCTCCACACAAGACAGAAAGCAACAGAGACATTCTGTCATTTCTAAATCCTGGCTGATGTTTGGTGTTTGCAGAGCAATTGACACGCTTGCCTCTTGGACTGAAATCTAAAGAGATCAGACCTGAAGATATAAAGATAAGGTGTGAAGACAAAGATATGATGCTGATCAGCAGAGGTGGAGATTGGAGAACGAATAGCAGGGAGTCTGAAGTGTTGTTTGATTGTAAAAGCTGAGAATGAAGCTAACAAAACCTGCAGAAACATGTGCCCCCAGGGTGTTTGGGTGCTTCAGAGAGAGGGCTTCAAAATTCCCTCAAGCTTTCAAGTTGTTCCTTAAACTTTAACTTAAGAAGTACACAAAATATTCCACCTTAGATGGGAGGAAGACAGAAGTAATGCTGTATTTCTTCTGTGTGATTATCTTCAGTTTAGCTGGTGAATTGACCCTCTGCTGATAAATTCTCTGCAGTACTTGATCCCGACCACATTTGACCCACTTCAGCGTCTCCACACTGAGGATTAGACCAAACATTCTCTCATCAAAGTTTTCATTCAGCCTCTTTCTGTGATTGGCGTGCTCAGCCCAGTTTGGTTGAAGTGGTGATGTTGGTGCGTAATTAGCTCAGGAAATCTCCAAAATGGACCTAAGAAATCTGGTCATTAGCTCAAGGAATGGTGCATTATGTGTTCGGGCTAAGAGGTTTAGCCCACTTTGCTGGGCTATTGTAGCTCGGCCCACTTGTTGGGTTACTGCAGCCCCTGGACAACACACACACACACACACACACACACACACACACACACACGACCAGAAAACACACACACTTCTGTGCTGAGGTTAATCCTGTTTTGATTTGACAGCAAGACGTGAGAGTGTTTTTATTAATTAAAAACAGCAGGAGGAGGGCTGGAGTGACTGAGTGAAGGAGACAAAGAGTTTAAAGGGACAGTTCACTCAAAATCTCTTACCTGTAGTGATGTTAATCCGTCTAGATTGTTTTGGTGTGAGTTGTCAGCTACAGAGATGTCTCCAGTATAATGCAACTAAGGTCTCGTTTATACAACAACGATTTCAACCGAAAACGGTAAAATTTAGTTGCGTTTTGGCTGATGGTTTATGCGACAGTGGTGTTTTGGGTGCCGGAAAACGCAACGTTTTGAAAACGGGTTCCAGAGTGCAATTTTTTGGAAACGGCATCGTCTCCTTTGTCATGTAAACTTGCAATATGCAGTTCCTCTGAAAACGGAGACTTGTGGCACATGCACTTCATGGTTCCAGTCACTAGGCATGTGCGAGAAAGTCGACCATCACAGCAACAACGGTGGACTCCCGAGCTCTGCTTGTGCTGCTCGCACTTTTGAATTTATCAACACTTCCCCATCACAGTGTAGATTTACTGTAGCAGCTCCACCTTGTCGTCCCTCCAGACAAATGGTCGTGTGGTTGCCATATGTTTGTTTATACATCGCCGCTCTGTAGAAGGAAGCGCATGTGCGCAGGCACTTGTTGTTTCATTACAAAGTCACACCGCCAACTACTGGCCTGGCATGTATACTACAGCGTTTTTTGCGGATCCGCGTGCACAGCGATTGTTATCAAAACGTCGTCTGAACGCGGAATGAAAATGAGAAACGATTCTGTTTTCACCGGATCGTTTTCGTGTAAACATGGCCTAAGTGGCACTCGACTTGTGGTGCTCAAAACGCTGAAAAAAACATTTGAAGAATTCAACAGCAATGTCTCTTTCCTGAAATCATTAACCAATTACTCAAGATAATCCACAGACCTTGTTGTGAGCAGTTTCATGTAAGAACTAGGCTCGGACAGTATCTACTTTTTTTTAATTTGCTACTTTCTGCAAGTGCTTTTAGCGTTTTCAGTCAAATAAATAGAAAATACAAACTTACAAACTGTCAAGAAAGGTATACCATAATGCCTTTTTTCTAGGGCTGCCTCCTGAAATTCAGATTCGAATCATCAGTCAGAGACCCCCACAGTCGACTGAGATTGCTTCAAGTTGACGAGTCTTTTTTTTTTTAAAAATTGTTTTTGTTGTTGCTAGTCCAGTGTGCAGTGTCCTTCTGGGAAGTTTCGGTCCCCTGACTTTGCTGCAGAGTGAGCACTCTTCACTTCCACGCTTCTCTTTGGTACAGGCAGCTGCATACACAGAGGCTGTCTGTAGGAAGAGAGGCTTTACCCCGTAAGGCTCTGAGATCACGTCAGTGGTGAATTTACAGCTCACAGCAACTTAATACAACACAGTCTCTGGCTAGTGTTGGCAAAAATGTTGCACATATCCGACCCATCGTTAGCGTGGTTAGCTTGGAAACGATGTTACATGAGTGTCACATAACATAGTTGCTTGATGGCTGTTTACAGTCCTGTAACGTTATCCCCACCACTCGCAGTCAGCTCAGCTGCCTGTTGCACCAGTGGAGACTATATTATCAATACAGCCTCTTTGTTCGAATTTAATAGAAAGATGAGTGTCTGTATTTTTGACAGAATTGAAATACCGTAATACTGTGATACTGCTCAAGCTTAGTACGAACTGTTTTCTTTCTACCTAACTAGGCCTGTCAATGGTGTCACCACACAGAAGGAAGCGTGCATCTACACATGGACAAGAGGCTTGTGCTCGTGACAGCATGAGATCTAAACATGAATTGCGTTGCGTGAGCTAGCAGTAGATGCATGTTTCCTTTTGCACAGTGATATGGTTGGTGGGTCATTCAGTAGAGAGAAAATAGTTCCTACATGACACTGCTCAAGGTCTGTGAATTATTTTCAGTAACCGGGTCATGATTTCTGGAAAGAGACATTGCTGTCGAGAACACTCAGCAACTCTCACCAAAACAGTCTCGGGGTCTTCAATGTTTTTCAGGTCATGGACATGGACCAGTCATATCTGTTGAATGTTCAGTGGTCCTAACTGCCTAGAAGAACTCCCAAGATGTCAGTAAACTAGATTTCCTCCTCTGATTGAGGGTAGATGTGGTGAAGAAGTCGGGCTTTGTTTTCGGTGATTTTGATGCTGATGTGCAGGAGACTGTTGTTGAGGTTGGTCACAGTGGCTGGTGACAGGACGCTTGTGTCATTGGGAATTTTGGATGTAAAAACAACTGCATTCTCACCTCAGAATATAACCCAGTGTGTGCAGCTTTCATTTTGGTGAAGACATATTCAAGATGGAAGCAGGAGAGAGAGACGCAGAGAGCAACAAAGGCCTCGAGAGGGAAAACAGACAAACAGATGTGATGTAGAAAGAGAGAAAGAGATTTCGAGGAAGTTTAGAAGCTGTTAAGAGAAAAAAAAGATTGATTAGATAGAGTGTCAGGTGTTGATTGAGCAACACTTTGTCTTTCTCTGCGAGGAATCCAAGTCCTCAGGGCAGTGCTGCAGAGTTCTGCTCATTCACCTAAAGGTTGAGGGAGAGAAAGAAATGGGAAGAGAGATGAAAAATGTCTGAATGAAAGAGTGTGTAACGCACAAAGAGAGAGGAGAATGAGCTCGACTTGTTCATTTCCAGGTGGCCTTTTTGTTGACATGCTTGCTTTTTAAAGGAAGTGACAAGAGAGGACTGAAGGTGTGCTGTGAAAGAAAATGGAGAGAGGGAGAGAGAGACAGGGTGAAAGAGAGTTTGACAGGCTGGCAGAACTGACATCTCACTACACTGAGCACCTGCCTTGTTCTTTAAAGATGTCACATACCAGGGTGGGAAATCAGCTTTTATTTGGTGAGTTATTTCAAAGCACACAACCTTGAACTTCAACTGTTTTGAACCAAGAAGGATGACCGTTCATTACCTTTATTTTCCTGCATTCAGCTGCTGATTGGAGGTGATTTCCTGCCGTCTTCAATGTTTCCAAGGTGCTGTGAACTGCTCTGTGGTTTCAGATTTACAGACAACATGAGAGCAATTAGTATTGAAGGAGATAATTAGTTAACTGCAAATATGTAAAGAAAGAAGGATGCCAAAGAGCGATGGCACAGAAGTGCACAAAGGTGGAAATTACATTTTAAAAAAAGATGTTAGAAGTAAGACCCTGCAACAATTTTTACAGAAACAATATTGTCTGACTTATCACAAAAACACAACTACAGGTGTTGCTGAGGGACGTATTTCATTCATTGTGACCTCAAATGTGTCATTCTCACTATAAAGCCCCTCTCTCACTGGACAAAAACCCACTAACCCCAACTGACATCTGGCTTCTGTATTTAATATGAAAGGATACAATTGGTGTTTGATCCCAGAACAAATGACTCCACAGTATACGACAACAATTTCAACTGAAAACGGTAAACTTTAGTAAACTTTAGATCGTTTACATGGCGGCGGCATTTTGGGTGCCTGAAAACTCAACGTTTTGAAAACGGGTTCCAGAGTGCAATTTTTTGGAAACGGCACCGTCTCTGTTGTCATGTAAATTTGCAATATGCCGTTCCTCTGAAAACTGAGACTTTTCGCACATGCGCATTACGCTTCCAGTCACTAGGCATGTGCGAGAAAGTCGACCATCACAACAACAATGGCGGACTCCTGAGCTCTGCTTGTGCTGCTCGCACTTTTGAATTTATCAACACTTCCCCATCACAGTGTAGATTTATTGTAGCAGCTCCACCTCGTCGTCCGTCCAGACGTTTGTTTGTTTATACATCGCCGCTCTGTAGAAGGAAGCGTAAGCGTCACACTGCCAACTACTGGCCTGGCATGTAAACTGCAGCATTTTTGGTCATTTTTGCGGATCCGTGTGCACGGCGATTGTTATCAAAATGTTGTCATCTAAACGCAGAGCTTCTTTCAAAATGAAACTGAGAAACGATTCTGTTTTCAGTGGATTGTTTTCGTGTAAACATGGCCTAAACCTCCTTTCAGCTCCGATCGGCAGTGATGGAAATACTAAAACTGAGTGAACGCACTAATTTTTGCCCCCTTCTCCAGTATGATGTAATGACTCGCAGCCACAAAACTCTGTCCCTATCTGTTTAAGCAGCACCCGAACATTGTGAGTAAGTAGAGACATAGAAAAGAAGTAACTACTGTAACATTTTCTTTTGCCTCCATGTTGCTTTCTACCGTTTACTATAGCTGTTTTTTGGCTCGTTCATGACGCCTAGTTATTAATATACATCTCTGGGGTTTTCCCATTTAAAAACCTGCATATATGCACTAGTTTTGGTAAGTAAAATATATGAAATTACTTATGTTCACTCAATGAACAATGTGCCCACAGGAACACAGGTTGTCCCTCACTAATCTCTTGTCCAGGGCAGCAAACATTTTAAGTACACAGATAACTAATTTGAGGCTGTACAAGCTTCACACAAAGCTGAAAGGTTGATTGACAGGTGATCTCTTGGAAGTGCAGGCGGGGTGGAGTCAGATAGTTAGCAGTGACCTCTGACCTGCAGTGACCTGCAGTGATAGCATCTCCTAACTCGGGCTTTTGTTCATGTCCTAGCTTGTTTAGTTTATGCTAACACTTACATAGCCAGCGGTGATCGGGTCAAACGCTCAGACAACCAAACTGGATTAGCTGAGAATGAAGAGGCTTTAGAAAGACGACACTTGAAGTGGACGCCTCCTCTGCTGTAAGACAGATTATTAAAGTATGCCACAGTGATTTGGATTGTGGGACATGTTTACCTACCTGTAGTATCGGTATCATTTAAGATTTTGGATATCGTAATATCACAAGTGTTGTCTTTCCTGGTTTCAAAGGCTGAATTATAGTAAAATGATGTTTTCCCAACTTGTCAGACTGTTCTGGCTCTTATTTGCCTGTACCCACTTAGTCACTGTATCCACATTATTTATTAAAAATCTTATTGTGTAAATATTTTGTGAAAGCACCAACAGGTCCCGATCAGACAGGCGCGCTGCACTGCCATTTTTGCAGATTGCTGCATCTTTTTTTTTTCAAGTTGTTGCTGGGTAACCAACAAATCAGTCGTACTTAGCTTAACCACTATTTTGCTGTGAAGTGAACTCACAGATGTGTCCCTTAAAATCTGCATAAAAATGGACAAGCAGAGGGACTTGTTCTGGCTTCGATTGAGAATGAGAGGCCAAGTAGAACGATTGTCACAGGGAAACGGAAGCAGAGATCCATATGGTTATGTGAGACCCTATGACAGAGGAAGAACCACCAGCTGGTCCACGAGCTTCATCTGGATGATGGTCGGTTCAAAGCCTATTTCAGAAATGAGCCAGAGACTGGCAAAAACAGTCAGTCTGAGGCACAGAGACGACAGTTATGAAACAATAAGACCTACTTGCAGAATGACAATACAAGCTGGAGCCTCACTGTTACAGTAACCTGAGTGGTTTCACCTTTCTGTTTGAATATAAGAAACCTGACCCAGGTTGCTTCAGGGACAAACAATGGTGAAAGAAATCTCTTCTCTTCATAGAAGTTTACTGAGACTCTGAAACATTGTGCTGCCATTTTGGGTGCTTACAGAAGCTGGACTGTAATTAAAATACTTGAAGGATCAAATCCCACAACAACCAGTAGATGTGTGAGTTAAAGCAAACACAAAAGGTAAAATGTGATTTTTAAAAAAGTGCCTTTTTCATTGAGGTTTATGCCAGCCTTACATCAAACTACTTTTCCAAACAGCGCAATTTCACTGTTGCAGATGAGTTTTAAATGTCTAAATTAATATCATGAAGTTTTACCTCAGTTGGCGTCGCCCTTGTAATCTCAGTGTTTTGGTGTGAGGTGGTCATAAACTGTCTTGCTGTCTTAAGTCAGCCTTTATCTCATCTTGACATTTGGCAAAATGACACGTCTGATATTACTGTAAGTTTAGCAAAGCAAAGCTCCATGTTGTTAACATTTTCAACAACCAATAGCTGCACTCTCTCCAGCACCAAACAGGACGCAGCAAAAAGGGTGGACAGTCAACATGGAGGGGACTGTGGGGTGGCACACAAACATGGTTCTTTTTTCTTGTGGAAAAGACAGTGAAACCGACAGTGAAACATTGGCGCCGTTGCAGAGTATTATGTAGCATGCATCATGTGCCGGCACCTAGCACACGCCGGATGTGTCACACTGCAGCTCATCAACAGATAACCACGCAAAGTTATTACTACTTTAACTGAAAGATCTGTACGTCTTCCACCTTTGCGTTACATTAAAATCACGTGTGGACAGTCCCTAATTAAACTCGATTTCTCACCCGAAGAGCCGATCTCCAGAGCTATGACTCACCAGGCAATATCTTTGTGGCCATTGTCTTTATAATGACGGGATTGTGAGTCATTAAGCTCAGGATATTTCTCAACCTCAACAACAAGTCAACAAGTCTCTCCTCATCCGTTCTTGGTCACACATGAGACATAAGCCCTTTTTAGATAGGAGTTGTGCAAATTTGCAGGAAAGCCCAATCAGTGTTTTTTCAGCATTGGCAGTATAAAAACAAAATCAGGGAGTGCAGCAAAATGCCGCCTACCTACTTTTGTTTATACAGAAAGAGCCTTTTTCGGGGCAATGGGGGGCGTGAGCAAGGAACAAAACGTGTAGCTCAGCGTGTGACGTAAACAGTGACATGGGAGGGAAGCCGCGGCTGGTCAGTCCTTCAGTGATTCTCTCGTAAGTCGGCCCGTCCTTCACCGTCCCCGTCATCTGACGATTAATGGCCTCTTCGTTTACGAGGACAAGGAGGGCGCGCAATTCCTTGTCTCCCCAGTTGCTCATCTTTACAGTGTCTGTCAGGTTTGTGTTTCCCTCTTGCTACTAGCTGCAGCATCATCAACAGCTCCTCCCACAAGTCATCAACAGCTCCTCCCACAAGTCATCAACAGCTCCTCCCGTGACGGAGGGCCACCTTGTTCTGTTTAAACTAAAAAGGTTCCGCCAATATGTCTACCCAACGAGACAGAAAATTGGGCACCTCGGATCAACTCGCCAATCCGGCTCTGTGTGTCTAAACGCTCGCAGCTTGCCGGCAAAACGGCCCAACATTCACGGAAAATCTGGCAGTGTAAAAGGGGTTATAGAGTTCTCTTTATACATCAACGGTGAGGAGAGGAGTTGAGCTGCCACAGGAGCAGATAAAAAGAGCTGCTACGGGAGCTGGTATGGACAAGCAGAGAGTGAGTGGAGGGAAAAATGCATTTAATTCCAGGGGTGGTGAGGCAGGAAATAGGACAGTGGTGTGAAGTTCAGCACACTGGCGCGTCCAGGACGCTGGTGCACCACCACAGGTGTGGGGTTGTACATTGACAGTAATAAGGACATACTTTTTGATGCCTGGTGTTTGCCGCCAGTGTGTTTGGCTTGTAGAGCTGAGGAGTGAACATGAGTCAGTGTTTACTTATGCGTGTATCTGATCCAACAACCGGCACTTATTTTAGTGAGACATCTTAATTTTTTAAAACGGTTCACTTGTCCTTTTCACAGTCTCTTCCCACCAAAATGGCACAGCTAACCAACGGAGGCTGAGTTGCAAGTTGAGGCAACAAAATTGAAACCTGCTGTTCTCAATTTAAGATTAAACCAGTTTCTCTCTCTGTCCTCTCAGGGCCAGTACTGTGACATCTGCAGCCAGGGCGACAGCGATCGTGCCCACCCCATCACCAACGCCATCGACGGGACGGAGCGATGGTGGCAGAGCCCGCCTCTGTCCCGCAGCACCGAGTACAACGAGGTGAACGTCACCCTGGACCTCGGACAGGTAGGTTCAAATACAGGCACTGACACACACACGTGTACTGTCTGTGTATTTATGTGTGTCATTTGTCAGTGTGCGGTTGGTTCAGCAGCTCAGTGATAACTCAGCCTCCTGATGCTCAGCGACCCAAAAGGGAAATCAAACAGTTAACGCTTCGGTCTGAGTTGATTTAGAGATGTTGCTCTTGGCAGGAGCTTCTGTTTGTTCTCGCTGGATGTTGCAGTGAATCCATCAGGATGACACACACTCACAGATAGATGTAAAGCACACACACACTCAGGCGTACACATTAGAGAAAAGCCTCACTCCCTGTGCTCCTAGTTAACCTTTTTGTGTTGCTGAACGTTGCTCTTGAACAACCTTTCATGTTTCTGAATGCCTCTCTTTTGTGCCGGGCTCTCCTGCTCGAGTGCCCTCCTCATTCAGCAGTGCTGAGACATCCTGTGCGTGTGTGTGTGTGTGTGTGTGTGTGTGTGTGTGTGTGTCCTTGACAAGTGTGTTTTCTGTCATGGCATTCAGTTTCCCATCCCTCTCCCATCTATAGTCCCTTTTCTCCTCACTCTTTACTTTCTTCCCTTCCTCTGTCTCTCTGTGGTTAAAGGTCTCAATAGAGAAGCAGGGAGCTGTGACTGTCACTGAGTGTGTGTGTGTGTGTGTGTGTGTGTAAAGGTTTTATAGTCCTGTTTACCTTGTGGCAGTAATAAAAGAATAATTAAAAAGGTTTTAAAGATTGTCACATGTTGGCAGTTAGTGGATGTTAACTGAATAACAACAGTGCAGGTTGCCTGCAGTGGTATTTTTGGGACTGTGAAAACAAGTCAGTTCTCTTCAGTATCGCAATCTTTATTTGTATTTTTTACATTTTTTTACAGGCTGTTTTTTATTTTATTTCTAACATAAATTGTTTTTTAATTCCTGACTCAATATAATTCAGCTACAGAGGTGGAAAGAAGTTGAAGAAAAACAAAGTCGAAGCAAGAAAGCCGAACATGGTCCGAGGATTTAGGGGGGTGATCACACAGAAATGAGACGCTAGAGACGCGGACGCTTCAAAGATGCTTGAAACGGCGGAAGCGCTTATTCAATGCACGCTATCTACTGGTGTCTGACACTCAAAAAGTTGAAAATATTTTAACTTTTCAGCGTCTACGCGCATCTAAAAATGCAAAACGCCTGTCTAAAAAGACGCTTGAACGCCGATCAGACGCGCTGTATCATAGGAAGACAATGGTTTTACTGGCGTCACGTTTCTAGTGTTTCATCTCGGTGTGATCGCTCCCATAGACCTTCTTTTTCTTATATTCTCAATTTCCAAGAGCCAAGGAATTGTCTCTCAGTTTTGATCTTTAAAAGCAGGTAGATGTATAAACAGTCGGAATGATTTGATTTATTGATTAGTTGATCAACAGTAAATTTCTCCGCACCAAATCGAGTAATTATTTGTCAGTTATTAAAGGGTCACTCCACCAGTTTTCTGGATCGTGACGCATTCTAGGAGCTAAAAATGACGGTATCTCGACATCTGCTGCTTTAATTTTTACTTTTTTTTTTCTTTCAAATTTGTCTCTTAAGAGTCCCTTAACTTTACGGTGGTTGAGTACTGAATTACAGGAAAAGTAAAAACACCAAATATTTTGAGGATTTTCATATGTTCTCTGTTTTATATCTTGGTAATCTGAATATCTTTGAGTTGTACACTGTTGTTTAGACAAAACAGGACATCTAGCAAGCTGTGACAAAAAATTTTGACTTTTTTTTTTTACATTTTAAAGACTGAATAGTTTAGTTAAAACAAAAAATGAAGTAATTTATAGTAAATATGTCATTAGCTCTAGATGTATTGCATGGATGGTTTTGGTGCACTTGAACCTGCATGTTCAGTGTCCAGATGAGTGCAGCATTCTCACTGCAGCACAGCTCGATTTAAAAAACACTGTTAAGCTCTCCAGAATCTATATCAGGAAGATGATTTGGTCCTTTTTGCACAAGACTTTGATTTAACTTGACGATTTTGTTGCTTCATTACTGCGGTGTCAGTGTTGCAGCAGCACACTTTATCTGTTTGAAAACCTACATCACAGCAAAATGTTTCCTGGGTGGCATCGACGCTAAGAAGACGGCTTAAAAGGAGGAGAGAGACCGAGCGAGAGGAGGGGGAGGGTCTCCTGTTACCAGGTTGCAGTTTTGTCTTGAAAGAATGTAGGTGGGCTCAGGCCAGGGTTTACAAGTGTGTGTGTGTTTGCGCGTGTGTGCATGTGTGTGTGTCAGCGACAGGGCTCAGAGGGTGTGTTGAAGACCCCTCCACACACGCACACACACACACACACACACACACACACACACACACACACACACACACCTAACCCCCCTACCTCTGGCTGAATGAAAGAGAAAGAGAGGAGGGAGAGATTGGAATGTCAGTTAACCTGTCTCAACCTGCAGAGGGGGGGAGGCTCGTTAAATTACCTCTCTCTCTCTCTCTCTGGAGTGAACTATATCATTTTTTCCTCTCTGAAAAAAATAGTCGTGTTTGCCAATTTCACCTAAAGGAAATCTCCAGGAAATACACTGATACCACTCATGTCTGTACGCTAAAAATGAACACTTGCGCTAACTGCTTCCCTTTTATCTGGTCTTTGTGCTAAGCTAAGCTAATTAGCTGCTAATGTTAGCTTCATTTTAATGTACAGACATGACAGTGGTAATGATTTTGGCATGTAACTCTAGGCAAGAGAGTCGATTTAGCTTATTTAACATAATGTTGAGCTTTTCCTTTAAGTCTAGATATAGTTATCTGGCCATAAATATGTGGACACCTCCAGTGATGATGTTAGGTACACGTCCTGCGTCCCTGACACACTGAAATCTGAAAGGACGCAGTCAACTCATCATCGACACATCACCTTATTATTTCCCCCAAGAATGAAACATTTATTGTGAACAACAAATCCGTGTTGAAATGATAGAAGCAGTGGCGTCACAGGACTTAACTTATTTTGAAAGATCAAAAACTTGTGTTTTGGATGTTGTTGCCATACTGTCAGTGATGTGCAGGTGGTTTTGTTCCACTGCTCTGCACACATCTGACACACCTTCACATTTTTAGGTTCATAAAATGTACCTGAAATTCATGAGTATGTTGGATGTTACAACAGACGTTACTGAAATCTTACTTTACAACATCTGCTCTGACAGTAAATGCAATATTGACTTGTGTCAAAACATGATGATGCTTTAAGCCTCTAACAGACTGTGAGATTTTAGCAATCTTTTAGCTGAAGACTGATTGGGCTTTCCTGCAAATTTGCGCAATTCCTATATAAAAAGGGCTTATGTCTCGTGTGACAAAAAACGGATGATGAGAGACTTGTTGTTGAGGTTGAGAAATACCCTGAGCTTAGTGACTCACAATCCCGTCATTATAAAGACAATGGCCACAAAGATATTGCCTGGTGAGTCATAGCTCTGGAGATCGGCTCTTCGGGTGAGAAATCGAGTTTAATTAGGGACTGTCCACACGTGATTTTAAGGTAACGCAAAGGCGGAAGACGTACAGATCTTTCAGTTAAAGTAGTAATAACTTTGCGTGGTCATCTGGACCAGCCGCGGCTTCCCTCCCACGTCACTGTTTACGTCACACGCTGAGCTACACGTTTTGTTACTTGCTCACGCCCCCCATTGCCCCGAAAAAGGTGCATTCTGTATAAACAAAAGTAGGTAGGCGGCATTTTGCTGCACTCCCCGATTTTGTTTTTATACTGCCAATGCTGAAAAAACACTGATTGGGCTTTCCTGCAAATTTGCACAATTCCTATCTAAAAAGTGCTACAGGGTATGATGTACGATGCAACAGCTTCCCATACTGAGTGCATGAGGATGCTGCACGGGTTATTACTTCTCCAACTGTGAAGCACAACACAGAGGCTCACATCGTTAAATAACCTAAAATTTTGCAGGCACTATATACTGCAGTGTGTGTGTGTGTGTGTGTGTGTGTGTGTGTGTGTGTGTGTTTGCTAGGTGTCTCACCTGGCAGCAACTCTGCTGCAACTTCCTTCCATGCAAGAGACGGATCATGTTGAGGGACTAAGTGATGAAGGTTGGGGATCGATATAATGCCCACTATTTTTTATTCTTCTTTTTAGCTAGTCATTTAATTCGTCATGTCTGAGCTGCTTTGTTCTGCATTTAATATGAAAATGTAAAAAAGATATTGTAAAAAAAATCTTGCTAACAGATACTCATACTACAGTACTAACTTTCAGCTAAACATGTAACAGTGTTCTGATTTTAAAGGCTGCTGAGATGCCTTTGAGCGAGGCACTCACAGAGCACCAGTCTATGCATTTATTACTGTGAGGTGTTGTCAGGTGAATGTGAGTTCAGAAGGTAAAGCAGCTTAAAAAATGTGACCTATTAAGAGCAGATAAAGTTTTAATGGGGTTGGAATTCATTTGGCAGTGAATACACTGTGCTATCAGTGTCAGTGTATCAGAGCGTAACTGAAGCAGGTGTGTACCAAGCACAGACTGCACCCACCCAACACTGATGTTATTAAACACATCTCACTGGAATCTGAGGAAGGAGCGTTTCTCTCAGGATTTACTAACAATGCTACACCTTCCTATAAATGACAAGTTTCTGCATCTTGTCCTGTTTTTTCAAGCTCACTAATATTTAATATCTCTCCTCTCTCTCTGTCCTTAAATTCCATCCTCTTCTGTTCCATCTGTTTGGACCAGAGGAGCATCAGTTCACACACACCTCTTCCTCTCCTCCTCCTGTCTTTCTGTATCTGCACCAGCCATTCTGCCTGTCTTATGCAGATAACACACAGCCACATATAGACCATCTTTATCTCCTCTACCTTCCTGTCTTCTTTCTTCTGCTGTCTCATGTTTTCATTCCTCTTCACCGTCAGTTTTTTTCTCATCTTGCCTTGCCGACAAAATCAAACGTTTAATATTATCATAAGTTTTTTTTGTCGTGGCTCATGCAAATAC